TATGTTAGTATGTTAAAAAATATATATATTTATATACCAAAAATTAAATTGGTAAACCCTCAAAATAAATTATTGATTTACTCACAATAAAGTCTTTTGAAAAAAAAAAGAAATGATAGTTCAAGAATTTAAGAACTGTGGGATAGCTTTTCTTTCTGCCCGAGCTAGATTTGTGCACAGCACATCACACTTGGAATCGGATGCTGGACATTTGCATGTATGGATGGCCCTTGGCTGGATGCTAGACCTGGACCCGGAGTGGTGTTGAGTCAAGAAACTGGCACCCGCACGCTCATTGCTTGTATTTGGCTTGTTAACTGCGCATGTTTACTTTATGTTAAATTAAGTTGAGAATCGTGCAATGCAAATCACAGCGCAGTGCCAGTTTAGAAATGCTGCAGAACAAGAAAACGCCAGACAACGACTACGCTCGCATACAATTTTCCAACTCTTTTCTAATTGCCAAGAGTCCAAGATGAAGTCGAAGCTGAAGCTGGAGCTGGAGCCAGAGAGCTGGAGCCAGAAGAGCCACGGCTACTGTCACTGATTGCTTTGCATACAAAATGAATTAATGTCATTGAGGAAGAAGATGTTGCCAGTTGGCAGAGCAGCAGCAGCAGCAGAAGCCACAGAAGCTACTGCAACAGATCTCAACCTTTAGATTCGTTTGCTGCTTTATAAAGTTTGCTTTGGCCAACGGCCTGCGAGTGCTACAAATTTGAATTACTGGCTGACTTGCTTCCTTTTCATTATCTAAGGGTCCCAGCCTTTGCAGTTATCAAATGCAGCGCATCAGTCGTCAGCGAGAGAGGCTAGACCAAGAAACAGTTTGTGGCTCCGCAAACACAGATCTATCTGCATGATTTGTTTGTCTGTGCCCGTCACACACAATAATTAAAATGCTTCTGCTTTTGCTTCTGCTTCAGCTACAGCTGGATTGTTTATGCCGCCTAGATAAATGCAACTGGCAACTGGCAACTGGCATCTGGTAACTGCAGTTTAGATAACGCAATTATCTTCTTATGCAAATTTATGATTGACTGACTGACTGACTGACTGACACATTGAATCCCCCAACCAATCCATGTGAATGCCATGCCAAATGCCATTCAACCTTTCTAAGCTCTTTGTTATAGTTTGCAATGCGCTCAGTTTGTTGCCTAAGTCTTTCGTTTTGCGCATTCGGTTCAATGCACTCCATGAACTTGTTATGTTCTCCCACTGCCACGCCTACTGCAGAGGGCAATTGTCATGCAACATACAGCAGCTGTCGCATGTTACATATAGATTAGATAGAAAATTGCTTTGAGCTTTTCATAGAATCAGCTTCCACTTGAGCAAAAGGCGGAATACAATAAAAGAATTTCTCGGGTATTAAGATAGAAAGACCTAACGATATTTTCTGAAAAGTGCTTTTATTATAAATTCAAAATTTGTAAATTGAATACATGCCCCCGAAAGCTCTACCTCTCACTCAAACTCTTCCTCTCTCTCTCTCTCTCTCTGATTCTCTTTCTCTAATCAATTATAATATTTGCTTCAGTTTCGTTTAGCTATTCGCTATCTTTTTATGACTTTATGTAAATGAACCAAGTAAAGAAATTTCGAAAACAAAAATTTATTATTATTCCTGATTTGCATTTTATTATGGTTGGCATAAGAGTAAAAGTTATTTATATTTTCGCTTAAGAATGGCGCTAAATGAGCTTTGACCTGCTATATATTAACCTGCCTGTGCGTTATAGAAAGAGAAGCATAAATCAGAAATGAATCTTTGACTAATTGATTTTGGTAAGATTTATGAGTTTTGCTTAATAAATCCAATAATGAAATTAGGTCAAGAATATAAATATTTATAGCGTAAAAGGTCCCATAGATTATATGTAAGTCAGCTTATAATGAAGAAGTCAAGGATTCACCAAACTAGTAAATCAATGTTATTATCTAGAGGTTTTTGATTCCTAACCATAATTTATTATATCTTAAAAATAGAATTAAATTTTGTCCATTTTCGCCAATAAATAAA